TGCAGGCATCACGTAAGGTGTCAGGACATGGTGGTGTACATTCCATCCTGCCTATGGGTTTCCCTCAAACCACATAGTGGTGTGAAATGTCTGCTGTTATGCAATTAATCTACTTTTATACTAAAGCAAATTAAATTTTATTTAAAACTAAGAAATATGTGTTAGGTGTTAAAAATTTATGCTTCTCTCCTTTACAGTTGATAAGTGGCTCTGGGTACTCCCTCACTTACTCTGGATACAAGATCCAGGCTTCTAAGAAGACAAAATTGAAGTTGCACTGTCTATTCAGTTAAAAATATGCTTTTTACTTAGCAGTATCTTAGGCCCTCACGTTCAACTTCTGTATATACTTGATACAAAGTTTATTTAATTCCCAAACCACAGTAAATTTGAAGTGGAATTTAAAATATGAAGAATACTGCCAAGGCCAAGAAAGGAGTGATGTTTTATATCAGGGAAAGATGGAGACAAAAAAACTACAAAAAACGAACAACTTAAAAACCTTAGTGTGAGGGGTTCCACCCTCGTTCACTATTTACTCCCAAACCAGAGACTTACCTGATGGGTGAACTGGGGGCAAGGATCTGACACGTGTGGCTCGGCCCTTTTAAATCGAATTTGGCTGCCTCCTCCATGTAGTAAGCTATGGGAATTGGGAGTCTGTAGTTCTGTCTGTGACTGGAGAGGTTCATATGTCTTATTTAGCTGTGAAGTATTAGGAAGTCCATTTTGCTGCAGATCAAATGTCTTTACTATTAAAGCTTATGTTTTGATCTTCATCTTTTTGACTCGTGTCTACTTCTCAGTTCATAAATTGAAAAAGTGAGTGCTATTTTTGGATCCTTTACATATCAACACTCAATAGTCTATAAGCACTTAGTTAATAGGAATATCAGTCCGTATACCTCATTAGGTATGTTCATAACCATGGACCATGGACCTTCGATGAAAATTTAAATTACATTGTATAATGTGTCTAAGAAGACAGATTTATGTAGTACATTTTAGAATACAGCCCATCTGAATGTTTTGATTCTAACAAAGGATAAACTCATCACTGAATAATTAGCTATTCATACAACTTCTTTCAAGATGATCCATATAGCTGAGGTGCAAAAAAAAATAAAAAATAAAAAATAATTCTTTTATTCAAAAGGTTTTATTCTTCATAATTTCTCATTGATTTTTTTTTTTTTTACCTCAACTTGTCATTTAAGCACCATTTCTGGATATGTACTATGAGAACCAAACTAATCTATAAGTGTTCAGTGATCCTGCTATATGTCAACTGGACTTGAAGATGTTTGTTTCACACAAACATGGAATGGGAGGTAAATATGACAAAACAACAGAACTATGTACTATACAATGGGAATGTCACAGGAAGAAAGCAGTCATTGATTTTAAAAATCAGGATTTAACTAAATGGAAAAGGTGAATATCAATTTATAATGAAAAGCACCCAGCCTCCTGGGAAACTTGAGGAGCATTATGTTTAGAGTTGAGTTCTCTCTCAGCTGCTTAGAAAGCACTGTATTTTTATTTTGCAGTTTCAACGTTTATGCACGCTAGCAATTTGAAAGATGGGGTCTTGTTGTAAGCAGGCTATACTGTTAAATGAACAACTTATTAAAACAGCATTAAAAATAAAAAGTTCACTTTCTACTTTTCATTATGAGAATGTAGAAAATGAATTTGAACTTGTATTTATAGTTATAAATCCTATAACTGAAAGTTGCTCTGCTGTTGGTCTACTACTTCTTGAGCTGTTTGGGGATTTTTATTTTAACAAGTGGCAAAATAATAGAACAAAAACAAATCTTACCACTTTTTTGTGACTGAGGGCATTTTACAAGGTAAGTGGCCTACACACAATGTAACTTTTCATAGTTTTGGAGTGTCCTATTTGATTTATATAGCAACTTATACAACCAGTTGGCACTCAACATATTTTCACAAATGGTGAGAGTCTAGTTCTATGAAGTTACCCTCCAGCTTTTTAATCTGTCGTGCGTGCAGAGGTTAGGGCACAGGCTAACAACCAGTTGGCACTCAACATATTTTCACAAATGGTGAGAGTCTAGTTCTATGAAGTTACCTCCAGCTTTTTAATCTGTCGTGCGTGCAGAGGTTAGGGCACAGGCTAAGCAGGTAGGAGTCCCACCACTCACTAGCTGTCTGATCTTGGTGGAAAATAAAGCCCCTTTGGGCTTCAGTTTCTCCATTTTTCCAGTAAGTTTCCTCTCATCTGCACAGTTATCACATACATTGGTGTTCTGGATGGAATGAGACAGCATATCAAGTTTTCTAAATGAAAAGGGCTATGCAAATTCATGCGCCATATTTTGGTTTAATTTCAGTGGTTACCATGTGACCTTGTGACTTGTCCTGAGCCTTTGTTTGTCACCAATAACTTAGGGAAAAATAATACCTAGCGAAAGGTTGTTGTGAGGATTAAAGAAAGTAAGACACTCAAACCATGAAGTCTGTGAAAAATGTAGGTTGACTTTTATTGCTCATTGACTATATAATATATAGAAAGCATGACTAATTTTGTGTAATTTATTCCTTTGACTACATATTAAAAATCAGATCAACCTCAAAGTCCTTTCAAAACCTGAAGATTTTCTTGTGAAACCTGACATACTTTGTATTAAACTGAAGGAAGGACTTGAGGTCTGCATGACAGAAAGCAAACACTGTACAAAGCTTCGGGGGCATTTTAGTATTGACTAGTGCGACTTTTACAGGGCATTACATATCCCCAGCCAAACATCATAAATTAGTTCCACACAGCAACTCAGCATTTCATTGTACGCTGACATGTACAACAGATGGAAGGGAGGTGAGGAAAAGTCGAAATCATTCTGAAGAAAGGTAGTGCGGTGGAATGAACACAGTCTTTTGATATTTCTTCTACTTTTGTGTCTAACATCCACATGCCATTTTGAGGTCATGTAGTTTTGTCCAAACACTCCCTGGTACATTTTTCTGTCTCAGTCCCTCTGACAAGTGTGTCCTCTGTCCCCTGCACCGGCTGGGTCTACAGGTGGGCATTGTGCCTCTCAGCGAGTGGGAAGGCTGAGGCGCTCCTCAGAGACAGGCATGGCTGTGCTGCTGGCACGTGCTGCCCACTCCAGCCACAGACAGGTACAGCTTTCCATCTGGACACACACAGATCTCATAGAGTCTCTGCGAACTGCCAGAGGGACCCTGAGTCCCCTGCACCAACCTGGGTAAACACACAGTTTCAGCATCAAGTACAAGCTGTTTGGGAGAAAATGAGAGATGAGATGTTAGGGGAGGAATGAACTTGACCAACAGGAAATTCATATCTCAAAATTCTTCAAACAAATTAGTTCTCCTCGTAGAAAGTGAAATAGACATCTGACTTTACGTAAGTCATATCATAATTAACTGATTTTTTTAAAGCCTAGATCTATTTTACATGTAGGCAGGGGCTTATTCATTTTCCAAATTGGAGGGAGGCCACTTTTTTTTTTTTTGCCCCTTGTGCTAGTCCAGCTGGGGAAAATGACCAATTGTGACAACATGTTTTGCCCTTGCAGTTTGTGTGTTCAATAAACTGCCTTGCTTTTAAGTTTTAAGATGCTAGACTCCTAAAAATGCCTTTCAGAATTATTTGACAAAAATAATAGAATCCTTTTGCCAATTCACATTTATCTTGTGATCCACTATGACTTTATGCCAAGTCATCTCCTCTCCATTAGGATAAAGTCCACAGAAATCAATTCGTCTTAATAGTTTTTTCCTGTGAATGTTAAAGTTTATCCTGATTTTATTTGTGATTTTGTTTTCCTAAGATTGGTGATTAAATTCATCCTATTTGCTATCAACCATTTCCCTAACTTTTTAATATTCTTTGAAACTCCACTGCCTTCTCTTAGATGCTGAAAAGCAATAGACAGACTAACGCCAGTGAAAATAAAATGAAAGCAGCTAGATTTTCTGGTCATATTATAACTTAGCTCAACTGAAACGCAAACAAATAGCCATTGCCTGAGGTTTGGAAATCTTTTTGATAACATAAGGAAATAAGACTCATCACACTGAGCAGCCAAACCTTACCCATCCCAGGGCACTCACTTTTTAGAAGGAATTAAAATATGTTGTGGGCAGGTATAATTTTTTTCTTGGCAGTGAGGTTAGATCCTTTATTGTATGTAGCTCTCACCCATGAATTCCAGTCTACTAATAAGCTGCTTCCCTCCTGGGAGGCTGACCCCTGCCATGTGAAGCAGCGGGGACAGTACCAGCAGCATCACAGGCAGGGCTGTACCCTGTGTGGCCTGGCATACTGGAAGACTAAAGGAAATCAAATGGGCATGACTTTTTAAAAAGCAGAATCTCTTTAGGTTATCGCCCAATGCCTTGGGCTCTGTAAGTACTTGCTGTTCCCTGACGTGCTTTTAACTTGGTGGCTCTTCCCTTCCTTGTAGTTAATTGGTCAATTATTTTCCTAGTCTTCCAGCAGACTCCAGCCACTGGCAGTCCACATACCGCCTCCTCGCTTGTCTTCATTTGCCTTGATGAGAGAATATTTGATGAGAGGCCGGACGTCTGTCTCTTTACTTTGAACTAGCTCCTGGTAATAAGGAATATCAGCTCTAATTATGGGTCCAGCTGTGTGCTCCTTGTAAAAATGATGCCTAATTCATGAAAATAAGTAATATCATTTTAAAATTAAGATCTGTTTAATTTTTTGAAGGTAATACACCTTACGTGTGTAGTGACACTATGATTTAGTAGTGCGATTCCATAATCTTGATTTCCATTTCTGCATTTATTTGTTCCTCACACTGTAACTTCATAAGTCACAACCTGCAGTGGCTGCTCCAGATGCCAGATGTCCCACTAGCAGGCAGCCCTTGGACGGGTCCTGTCCACCCTCTCTAGCAGCTGCCTCTCGTGGCCTGCTGGGTGACGGTAGCAGGTGCACGTGCATTTCAACTACACCTTCCTATTAATATTCATGTAATTTCAAGATGTCATCCATATTACCACATTAGTGTCTCAAAACCCTATGACATAGTTCAGCAAAGTTTTCCCTATTCGAAAAATAAGGAGACAGGCCCAGAGAGGGCCACTTAACTTTCCTGAATTTAAACAGTTTGTGAGAGAATTGACCTAGCCCTAGGACCCGGGCTTCCTGACTCCCAGCCGAGCCCTCTGCCACTGCACCATGTTTGGTGCGTGGGGTCCATGTGCTGCCACAGGTGCCATGCTCAGGCTGGGGCAGGAGCTTGAAAGTCACAGGCCCTCTCACTGTTTAGGTGGCTTCCACAGACATTTATTCCAGCATGTTCACACAGGCAACAGCAGAACAAACAATTAAACCCATGTCACTCTCTGCAAATTGTTGTTAAGACGGAGCTATTTAAAAGAAAATTCATGGGGCCGGCCCTCTCACTGTTTAGGTGGCTTCCACAGACATTTATTCCAGCATGTTCACACAGGCAACAACAGAACAAACAATTAAACCCATGTCACTCTCTGCAAATTGTTGTTAAGACAGAGCTATTAAAAAGAAAATTCATGGGGCTGAACAATAGGCCTTGGGCCGACCCCATGGCGCACTCGGGAGAGTGCAGCACTGGGAAGGCAGCGACGCTCCCGCCGCGGGTTCGAATCCTATATAGGACTGGCCGGTGCGCTCACTGGCTGAGCACGGTGCGGGCAACACCACACCAAGGGTTGCGATCCCCTTACCGGTCACGAAAAAGACAAAAAAAAAGAAAAGAAAAGAAAATTCATGGGGCCGGCCCGGGGTGCACTCGGGAGAGTGTGGCGCTGGGAGCGCAGCGACGCTCCCGCCGCGGGTTCGAATCCTATATAGGACTGGCCGGTGCGCTCACTGGCTGAGCACGGTGCGGGCAACACCACACCAAGGGTTGCGATCCCCTTACCGGTCACGAAAAAGACAAAAAAAAGAAAAGAAAAGAAAATTCATGGAGCAATGCCTTGTATTGAGCACATGAAAAAGCTAGGAGTAGGCTGGGAGAAGAGGAGGTTAGTTGTTTGTACAAATCTATAATGTTGCATCCTAAGATTGGAATCAGTCTATAAGCCCAATCCTTGCTTTTCTTCTAGAGCATTTAAGAATATCCCTAACATGACTGGTTTTCTGGCTGACCGAAACTGAGCTTTTTTCTTTTTTA